CAGTCCTCCCCCCCCGATTTTCCCTGGCCAGCCCTGCAGCCCCACTCCCCTCCCGGCCAGTTCCCCCCTCCATCTGAGATCAAGTGTGTCCGGTATTTTTTTGAAGCTGTCTGGTAACCCTAAGTGAGGGCACCCTGACCTCGGCTCCACAGCTGATCTCCACACAGCACCGAGGTGCTGGCCAGCCAGAGCCAGGGCTGGAGCTCGCCCACCCGCCCCAGAGAAGACCCTTGTGCTCTCAGTGCACTGAATGTGCCAGCTCTCAGCCCCAGGCCTTGGCAGCCTCCGGGGCAGGCCAGGCCTCTGGAGCAGAGGGTAGCCCCTGGAGTGGCAGAGGGCCACGGGGAACGTCACCCTCCTTTTTCTTCCCTCGGACTCACCATGACGAAGTCATTCACTTCCGCCCTGATGTAGGGCCCCAGGAGCCCCAGGTGCTCGTCCAGCTCCCCGCGCGCCAGCGGCTGGGTGAAATCCTTGTCCAGGTACCCTCGGAAAACCACCTTCTTGAACTGCTGGGCGGGCTTCCTCCAGCCCCGCCCGGGGCCCCTGAGGAACAAGAGGAGCTCACCAGGCTCGTGGCTGGGGGGGCGCAGGGCGCTGGATGCTGTGGTCTAATGCCCCTCCCGTTGGCATCTTGCCCAAGCCACACACCCGCTCAGGCAGGCCAGGCCTAGCCACTACAGGGTCTGCCGGGCCCTCGGGAAGCAAGCCCGAGCTGGCGGCAGAGGGGTCTGTGCAGGACACGCCTGGGCCCTGCCGGCGGCTCAGAGGTGGGTGCAAACGTCGTATCCGCACAGAGCGTCTCCCTGCGGCAGCTCTCCTGGCCTGGCCCCACTCGGACGCCCGGGGCTGACCTCCAGCCAGGCACTTGCGGCAGCTCCGGCCTCACGAGGGTCCAGCGGTTAGTGCCCGTCTTCACCCGGAGGGTTCCCTGGCTCTCCTCTGCCACCCCGCACACAGCACTGCCCGGAGGAAGCCCCCCTGGCAGCCCCCCGCAGTGTGGCCAGTGAGAGGCTCATTCCTCCCCACCCCCCTGCTCCCCCCTCGGCACGGCCAGGTGCATGGGGAGCCCGTGATGACGTCTGCAGCTGACACTGCCCAGCCCCGGGAGCGCGCTGCAGCCAGAACCTGTGGGCTCAAGTGAGGGAGGCCTGGACTCGTCAGCAAAGCGGGCGCTGAGCCCAGGTAGCGGAGCCACCAGCCGGGCTGCTGCACTCGGGAGGAAGCTCCAGGACCCAAGAGGCTGGCAAGGCTCCACAGGGCAGGGAGCCAGGCTCAGGACAGGCTGGGCTGGGACCCGGGGGCTGCCCCCGGGTGGGCTCTGGGCGGGGAAGGGAAGGGAAGCAGCTGGGGTGGGAGAGGGCCGTGAGACGTACTTCACTTTCAGGAAGTGCTGGGGTCTCTGGCTCTCGTATTCCCACAGCACCTCGATCGCTGCCACGAAATACTGCAGGACCCGCCCCTGGTAGGAGCGCGGCCCTTGCTCCTCCTCCCCGTAGATGTCAAAGTCGCCCGCGCCTCTCTCGGGGCTGCTGTAGTCATCATAGTCGGATTTCTCCGTCTGGGGCTCGGCGATGCTGGACTTGGCTGCACTGTCGGGGGCATGGGGCTCTCCAGGGCTCTCCAAATAGGCCTCGGGCCCAGGAGCCGAGCTCCTGTTCTTTGCTTTGCTGGTGCTTTCCACGCTGCCCTGCGGCCCCTTCCATCCTGGGCCTGGGAGGGGAGCGGCATCTTCCTCTTTCAGCACTTGGTTTTCTTGCTGGATGTGCCTCAGCTGCCTTTGGCCTCCTGGCAGGGCCTGGCCGAGAGCCTCGCCCCCCTGGGGACGCAGGGTGCTCGCTCTGGAGGCCTGTTTGGCCAGGGTCTCCGAGGCCTCTATGCTTGCTGGAAAAGCCAT